CAGGCGTCCCGGAATTAGGAATTCTTGATTGGCAAATAACTTTGAAGGAAAATGCCACCAGGGTTTGTTAAGAAAATTGTTATTTATCTTGTGATTATCTAGCTAGTCTGCACCAATTGTGCAGCTCGTGAATTGCCCCCAGTTTTGACCAGTAGCATGAGCTGAGGCTGGACAGCTGACATACCATGTCTTGCAAGAACAGACACATGAAAGAGAACTGAGTAGGAACCACAAGTCGAGCCAAGCGGAATGAAGGCAGACATTTTTTAGGTGTTATTTACTTCTGGGGTTTGGGTGGGTGTGTGTCCTGGAGGTCTAATTTTTATAGTAGTCTCTGTGTCATTTAACTCTGTGTGAAGACACGTCTTCGTTTTATACACAAAAACAACGAATCCTAGAATATTTTAAAGAACAAATACTAAATAAATATGTAGAAGAAAATTAAGCAAGTTAACTAGAAAGGGTAATTGAAATAGTCATAAACTTGGGTATCAATTCTTCTGGAAAATCAAATACTGTCCTTCTGGGCCTCTGCCTGTGGCAAGTGGTTTATAAGTCTCCATATCATTAGGACTATAAATATTTCAGTAAGACCACCCCATCACTCGCATTTGCTTACCCACGACCCTGCAGGCTGCAAACACGCATAGCTGGGCTCAGTTTTACCGCAGTGGTTAATAAAGTCATTATTTTCAGTGGTACACAGAGGCCCTTTCCTAGGCTTAGACGCTTGTTCATTAAAACTCCCCAGAAACCACTCCTCAAGGGGAGGGCTGGTCAATAGGCTGAAAATGTGCTTGTGCCCCGGAGTCTTCATTTCTCATCTGTAAGGCTTCTCTTGCTACGCTGAGGTATGAACTGAGTGTTGAATTCGGGAAAGGGAAAAATCAGTCTTGTGTCGCTTTTCTTAGGAAGCCAGGCAGAGCACGGGGATGGATGACTGATACTCACTTCCAAGTACAAAGTGGACCACAGGTCTGAAAGCCATTCCCTTCTGCGGGAGTTGCTAGTTATCAGGCTACTAGGCCTTTAGTGTCTAGAAGCCTTGAGGAAATTAAGTCTAGAGTCCAAAGTTCCAAGGCAATCATGGTTTATGAAATTTGCAGCAATACTTCTCAGCTGTTAAAAATTCGGTGTTCTAGTTTTGAATAACATTGACTGAAGTTCTCACCCTTTGACAGCGGTGCTTGAAATTTCAACACAAACTGAATGTTGAAATTACTTTTTCAAATAAAAGATTTCCTCCCACTTCTCACTCTCTTCCTCTCTAGAGTAGCCATCCGTACAGTTCAGGTGGCTGAGGCATAATTGTTTTAAAATTCAATTGAAATAAATTATCATCCATATAGCTTATAGATAGAGAAATGCAAATGAATTAGCTTAAAACAATGTTCAGTCTCATTAATGGTAAAAAACGCAAGCTAAAGCCAAACAACGGGATAGTTTCCCATATCATGTCAGTAAATACTGAACACAAGATTATACTTAATCCTGGCATGGATTTGAGATTAGGGCACTTAGGTACACTGCTGGTGAAGCTAAGCAGGTGGAGTCATTCTGGAAAGCTATTTGGTAATATATTTCAATAGCTTTAAAAATAGTTACATTCTTTGTCCTAGAAATTATACCCCTAGGAATATATCCCAAGTTATAATTAGAGATATGCCAAAAATTTCTGTAAAAAATGTTCACTGTAGCATTATTTATAATGGCAATCTGGAAATAATGAAATGTTGGAAATGTCCCAACAGTAGGGGTATTCTGAGCATTTATTACAAATGATGTGTTAAAGAATACTAGATGAACTGGCAAATGCTCAGCTCTAACCTGAAGGATGATTCTGACAAAATCAGAATATATGCAGAGAGAAATAAGTAGAACAAACATACCAAATGGTAATAATGATGGCATTGTCATTTCTATTTTATATTTGTGTATTTTTCCCATTTTATAGTATATTCCATATATAAATCTCATATTTTATAGAGAATATGTTTCTTTTACAATTAAAGAAGACAAGATAAATTGTTTTTTAATTGGGTCATATTGAAATCCCATAGACTTATGACAATGAAAAGTGCATACCGAAATCATCAGTATGGTTAATGGGCACTCGTATCCCAGTCTTCCGGCCAGTAATGAATTTTAATCAGAATTCACTTACTTTCAAGAAAGACATGAAGTGCCAGGACATCTAATCAATGACTGAATCAAGAAGTACTTACTGAAAATTTATTATGTGTCTACAACTTTTATAGAAATGCCTCTGTGTAGCCCATAAACTCCAGGGCCCCTCAAGATACCAACTCTAGTGGTGTTGACGAAGACTCTCTCCTTGACCAAACTTTAATGGGGCTCCTCCAAGCCCTCTTCCCAACTGGCCTTTGACCTTGGGCTTCAGTCTTCCTCCTTGTTGGTCTTGCATCACCCGGTTTTAGCAAGAATCCTGTTTAGAGAGAATCCCTACCCTTGATATCTGATCACCGTGGTCTGCCTTTAGCAAGAATCCCCCACCCTTGATGTCTTCTCTCAGTAATTTCCATCCACTGACCCCTGCAACCTGCTGCTCGGATACAAATCTCCGTGTTCCTTGTTGTATTTGGAATTGTGCCCAGTTCTATAGTGAGATCCCCTCTATTGCAGTAGTTCCTGATTAAAATCTGTTTTTACCACTTTAAACACTCTCCAGCTCTGGTTCTCTTTAAGTGTCCACAGTGCCTTCCTGAAAACTGAATTACAAAGCTGATCATTTTAAAGCAGTTCAAATTTCCCCCATGCTTTAATTTGGTATTATGTACTCAATGAAACATCTAGTATCATATAAATCAGAGCTTCATAGCAAAGACAGGACAACTCATTCTCTACAATCGTATAAATCATAAAATTATGCTTCAAATCACAGAATACTAAAGCTGGGAGGAGCTTTGGAGGTTATCCTTTTATTTTATAAAAAGGACACAAAGGTCAAGGTTACCACCTTGATTAAAGCTGCAGTTCTTCAGGGGAAGAAGCTGGAACCAGACTGCAAGTTTGCTGGCTCCTGTCTTAGCCTGTTTATTCATTCCACTTGCTTCCCGTAAGCGCAGCTGTTGATTACACATGGTGCTCCAAAGACAGCATAAAACTCTGCTGTTTCTTAAATTCAAGGATGTCTAAAACAAACATGCTAGCTCCGATATATATTAAACACTTAATTGACATTAATTTAGAGGGTTTTGGGGGGATCATTGGACAGTACTGTGTGATATTTGATTCATAGTAAATACATATTTTGGTCTTTTGGCTAAGTTTCTAGGTCATAGCTCCCCAAACTCTTGAAATTTCCTGAATGATAAGAGCAATAGGGGCATCTTTTGTTATAATATTTTGTTTCTTGTCCTCCATTCCTGAAATCAGATCCATAAAGGTGAAATAGATGTCTTGCTATTCATAACAAGCCCCTTTCAATCACAATTGAGTTTATGTTAATGAGATAACTTTGGGGAATCCCTAAAGATGAGAGAGCTGGTTGCCAGGGGAACCAACCTCAAATAGAGGGTTTTGGTCCCACTCTCTGATTTCTGGGCAGGGGAGAGGGGCTGGAGGTTGAATCAATCACCAAAGGCCAATGAGTTAATCAAGCATGCCCATGTACTGAAGCTTCCATAAAAAACCCAAAAGGATAGGGTTCAAAGAGCTTCCATGTTGATGAATCAGAATGCTTCTATATGCTACTCTGCTGGATCCCAAACTGCAGAGGGACAGAAGCTCCTTTGTTTGGGACCTCACCCCATATATCTCTTCATCTGGCAGTTGGTTTGTATTCTTGAATATTCTTTGTCATACACTGGCAATCTATAGTCGTGAGTAAACTGGTTTCCTGAGTTCTGTGAGGCACTCTAGCAAAGTCATCAAACCCAGAGAGGGGATCATGGGAACCTCTGATTTCTGGCCAGTCAGTCAGAAGCACAGTGACAACCTGGACTTTCTGTTGGCATCTGAAGTGGGGGGTGTGTGTGGCAGTCTTGTGGGACTGAGCCTTTAGCCAGTGGAATTTGATGCTGTTTCCAGGTAGACAGTGTCAGAATTGAGTTGAATTGTAGGACACCCAGCTGGTGTTGAGGAATCGCTTGGTGCGGAGCAAAAACCCACACATAGGAATTAGGTGCAGAGTTAGACTCTGATACCTTACAAATCTAGCATCCCTGAGAATAATTTATTTCACAATATTTCTTGAGTACCTATGAGATGTGCTTAGCACTGAAAATGCAGCAATGGGCAGGACACAGCTCCTGCCCTCAAAGAGTTCACAGCTTTGGGGGAGCCAGCCTAGTGGCAAGGTGAACACCGTGCAGCTATGATGAGAATCAATACAGGGCACCATGGAAGCCCTTAGGAAGATGGCTTGATCAAATGGGGGGCGGAGGGAAGCTTCCTGAGAACCAGTAGGGCTTGTGGGGGTGTGGGAGCGAGAGGAAGAACATTCCAGGCAAGGGACCCAGCATGGTCAAAGGCCTAGAGGGGAGAAATGATGTGAGCCCCGGGGGACTAACAAGGTCAGTATTTTTCAGGTCCTTGGAAACCAGAGAGGGCTCTGTGGGGAGTGAGGAGACCAGAAGACAGCAAGGGCTATATCAGGAAGGCCTCCCCAGCAAGCAAGGCACTTTTAGAGATGTGGACTCCATCCCAAAGACAAAGGGGAAAACGGAGGAGTTTAAATCAAGAGTGGTGGTCAGACGTGGTCTTTAGAGAGATTAATTGGGGTGTGGAGGAGAAGGAGTTAGAGGGGTCAGGATTTGGGTCAGGGAGGCTGTCCCAGTACTGAGGAGAGTGACAGGGGAATGGCCATGGGATGGAGACAAGCAGATGAGTAAGAGAGATGCTGGGGAGGTAGACATGTGAGGACACAGAGAGGGGATTGTGTGACAGGAGTCTCCTTTGCCTGCTTTGATTTCTCGCCTTCTGAATGAGCAGCCCTGAGGGGAGAGAGTTCTGCAGAAAGGCAGGCTGTGAGAGGCCGGGGACAAGGAAGGACAGTCAAGTCTCCATTCTTGGTTCTGTGATATGGGGGACACGCAGAGTATGAAATGGGCCTCAGGGTTTGCTTGCTTTGTGTGTTTTATAGGAGCTAAACCCTTCCTATTTCTGACTCCCCTCCTGCCCTATGTAAGAAACGCACTAACCAATGGGGGAGTGTGAGAGGTGGTAGCCTCTCAAAGGACAAGGTGGGAATGAAGGAGCCTGAGCTCCAAGGTGACTATTCATTAGCAGGTTGGTGGGCAGTCTGGACCAGAACCCATATGGTCCCTCCGACTCCCTGTCTAGTCTCCTTCCACTGTGTGAGCGCCCTCTTGCCTTCCCAGTGTCACCTCTTTCTCTTTCGTTCCCCAACTCTGCTGTGTAGACCCCCTCCACACAGACCTGGAACATTCTGACTATATTATGGGTTGAATTTTGTCCCTTCTAAATTCATATGTTGAAGTCCCAGCCCCCAAAACCGAATGTGACCTCATTTTGAAATAGATGTAATTATTTAAGTTCTGATGAGGTCGTACTACAGTAGGTTGGGCCCCTAATCCACTACAACTAGTGTTACAAGAAGGGGAAATTTGGACACACACAGATACCCAACCCCACCGAGGAAGAACACCATGTGAAGATGCAGGCAGAGATTGGGGTGATGCCAAGATGTGCCAAAGATGGCCGGCAAACGTCCAGAAGCTGGGAGAGAGGCATGGAGCAGAGTCTCCATCACTGCCCTCTGAAGAAACCAACTCTGCAGACACTTTGGTTTTGGACTTCTAGCTTTTCGGACTGTGAGCGAATATAACTGTGCTGTTTCAAGCCACCCAGTTTGTAGTATTTTGTTGTGGCGCCCTAGCAAACAAATAGACCGCCCAAAAGGTCTTTGCACCCTTCCCTGGTGATAGTATCACAGGGATCCACAGGGTCGCTCCATCCGGCACGGCCAGGGCACAGTGGGGTCAAGATTAATAGAAGATTACCCTTGGGCTTAATGCTAAACCCATCAATCCTTTTCTCTCTTCCGGTTGAGGTGCTGCTCTTCGAGAGCCTACCCGAAATTGTGTTCTCCGCTGATCATGGACGTGGTTTTCATCTCTAAAACCATGAGTCACCAATGGTACATATAAGGCCATGTCAGCGATAAGAATTTTTTGTTTTTGAGGAATAAGAAACAAGATTTCTAACTTCAGAATCTGTAAATATACTCCATCTGAAACATTTGCTAGTTGCTGAAGAAGGCAAGATATGTGTGTAATATGTACACACATGTGATACGTAATTTTGCTTTATACAAAAATATATACACATGTACATCCTGAATTTGATTTACACTTAACATTCTCACTTAAACATCTCTCTAAAATGTTTATCATAAAAAGATACACTGTACTGTTTATATGCTCTGTCTTGGTTTAAACCTTTTCTTGGCAAGATTCTTTGGACCTTAGGAAAATGTTAAAAGCGTATCCAGATACACATATAGAAGTACTTACCAAGGAACATTTCAATAACAGATGCCTTCATAGTGAGGACAACAATTCCCATAAACATCAAAATGGCACCCTAGAGAGGAAGAAACAATAACACCATCACATTTCAGCCAAGAGTTCTGAGTTGGACGCTTAGAGTATGGGGAGGGGCCCCTTCATTTTGCATTGCTCCCTGGGGTCTCCGGATTCCAAGCTGCAGCTTTCTTCAAGGAGCCCACAGAGATGGCAGTGGCCAGCCTCACTGATACCCAGAGAGTCCATCCTCAGGTAGAAATCCCACTGTAGCCACCAGCCCCCATTCTTCAGAGATTTGGTCTTTCCTTAGAACTGAAAAGGAAATGACTCCATAATTTCGGGAATAGGTTCAACCAGTCTTCAAATTAGGACAAAAGCTACACTTATGGTATTGAGAGAATATTTTTAGATTACAAATAAATGATGCATTCACCATTCATGCAACAAATATTTATTGAACTCCCATTATATGGCTAGGTATTGTTAGGGAGGAGGTGATAAAAATTGAGCAAAGAAATAGTTCTTGCTCTTAAAAGATCTACAGTTTACTAGAAGTGGGTAAACATACATAGACACAAATAACCTTAACATTAGAAAGTGTGCAGGCTCCATAAGGGAGTATAAGGGGAGTTTATAGACCAGAGGTTCTCAAACTTTGATGCATATTAGTATCATCTGGGAGTTTTAAAAGACCCTGATGCCCAGGCTGCACCTCAGACCAGTTGAATCAGAATCTCTTAAGGTGGGGTCTAGGCGTTAAGTTTTTTAAAAGCTCCGTAGGTAATTCCAATGTGCTGACAAGTTTGAGGACCAGTGGTTTAGAGCAAGACTTCCTAAATCTTACATGCATAGGAGTCACCTGGGGATCTTGTTAAAATGCAGATTCTAATCCCAGTAGGTCCGGGATAGTGCCAGAGATTCCCCAAGAAGCCAGGAAATTTTAGAGGAAGGAGAGATTATGTCAGCCATGGGAAAAAGAGAAAGTCTCCTAGAGGTGATAGCAATTGGGTCATTTTGAAAGACAAACAGTTTGGACACACAGAAATAGGGAGAAATGGCCCCAAGCGGGAGGAACAGTACTGACAGGAGCTCAGAGGTTGGGAAGCAGAGTGGATATGAAGATGCTGTTGATCTATACGGGGTTTCCTCCTTCTCTTGAGGCTGTGAGGAAACCCTAAAAGGTTTGGTCATACTACCGTTACCCATTACATAGAGCATATACTATGTACTCCATATAGTCTTGAATCTTTACAATAAGCCAGTGTGGTAGATTTTATGATCCCTTCAGGAAACTAAGGCTAACATAAGTTTCTGGTCACACCCGTGGTGACCAGGCAGTCAGTAGGACCAGATTGGGGGCAGGAGTAGTGGGAAGGATCTGCCCTGGGCACGGGCAATAAGGAAGAACCTTGTCTAGAGAATGTAAAGCTTAAGGTTGGTATGCTTTTCATTTTCTTTATAAGCTAGCAATTCCAAGCAATGCCAATGATAACGCACCCCCACCCTCTGGGGTGGATGGCTCCCGTTACATCCTCTTTGCCTAGTGCCACTGCTGTGTGGCCTAAATCTGGCATTCACACCCTGCATGCCAC